CTGAGGATATCTCAACAACTTTTACTTTTTTTCATGTATGTTAACTCAAAATTTCCGAAAGGCTTCAGCCGAACGACTAGTTAATAAATTTTAAAAAAATAGAACATTTTACAAGTATTGAATTGTTTTATAAACAAATCAAAACAACCAACTAATCCCTTGGAGATGATATTGACTAGTCAAGCGATGCATTTCTTCCACCCAAAAGAACCATTTGTAATAATCACATAAAAAATAACCATTTCTAATAAGCGAATCGAATATTTCGGCTAGTGAACAAGTACACGTACAACGGAATACAACCAGAATTTTGAAGAGATTTATAATTTTGAAGAGATATATAAATACCCGGGGACCAACATCCACAGTCTTGAAAATTGAATGTGAGGAACACGCAGGTGTGAATGCAAGTGCGAGTATGTGAGAAGAAGGCATTTCCGAGAAGGGAATAAAAATCGTCAATAGACTATGAACCTTAGTGTTCGTTCTGAAGAACAATGGAAAGGAGTGATCTTCACGGACGAATCTAACGACACGGTCCAGGTAGCATTCAATATCTGCGACGAGGAAGAGATGAAAAATTTCATTTTGATGGCTTAGTAAGCAACTGTTCTGAGAGCCTCTTCATATAAGGTTGCATTTACTTCCGTGGGATTCATAGTCTATATTTTGTGAATGATAATATGACGGTTGAAAATGTATAAGACACTTTTGAATGTACTATTATTTCCCATAATTGCTGAACACTTCAATGGACCTTCTTAGGGCACTTTATGAGATGATATAGATCGTTGCCGTGGAGAAACTAAGACAAAATGAAAGCTGCTAACACACAAAAAGTGATAAAAGATTGATGTGTCTTTCATTCATAGTTCTTTTTGGTTCTTCCCCTTTTAAGCCACATCAATTGATTTTTTTGATGTGCATCTTGTTCATTCTTCTTATTATCCATGGAGTGATTTATTTCTCCACGAAATATTTTACATTTTTTGTGTCTCACGTTTCATGTTAAGTGGCATCAGAAGTTCGTTATCTGTGTTACATTCCGCGACTTGCATATTTTTCATCTCAATGCTTTTTGCTACACTTACAATGCCTCTGTTTCCCATTCTTCGGTCAGATTTAATGATCAACCACATTAGTGGGTCATCTTGATTACTGACGTCATATTTTTGCAATCCAATTGTTGCATTGTGCCAGGAGGCTTCAATATGTCTGAGGCCTCTTCTTTCGTCCTTAAAATCCTTTAATGACATTAAGTCTATGTACTTGCCATAAAAAAAGAGAAAAAAGAAATACGGACAGAACAGCGCTCGCCCGAACTATAACTACAGATGAACAGAGCAAGCCAGGTCAACTTACCTAGGCAGAACTGAACTGCAATGCGTTGCGTTGCACGCTCCTAGCGGTGTAATTTCGTACTGCACAAGGCACGCTCACAGCAGAGCTATTCTGGTTATTTTTGAGTACCCCTTCGTACATCAGCTTAAGGGAGGGTGACATGATTCATTGTAAGCAGTTTTCTGATTTCCCGAACCATGATTCGAATTCCTTTCGCAGTCCTGTCCACTAGTGCAAAACTGTTCTCAACAACAGGCTCCGCCCAACTACCTTTTGCAGATATTATATTCCTGACTTCCCTCTTCATTGTGTCGATCGATATGTTCTCACATTCGTCAGTGCCCAGATATTTATAAGTTTTACCTGGCACAAAGTCTTGAATGACTGTGTTCATGTTAACTTTAATGCACTCAGACGTCACCTGTCTCTCTCTAAATTGCCTTTCCCATTTTTTGGCAAGACCAAATTTCATGCAGATGTAATTGTCAAAATCATAGATGACAGAAAACATTTGAGAGGGATCGCTTCATTCATAGCAAACATTTTAAGATCATCCATGTGATGTGACTTTATTTAGTAGCAAGACATCCCTTTACTACATCCTTTCTGTTCAACTAGCAACAGATGGTTCTTTTTTAGGTGACTGTACGTTTTTTTAACTATGGCCGCAGTTATAACTATGTACATTATTGGCAGACAAGTGATTAGTCTGTAGTTTTTTCGTCAAAGAGCTGTCTCTCGCTTTGGGCCGCATGAGAGCCATTCCGTGAGTTCCTTTGGGTGTTTAAAAATCTCATTAATACCCTCTGCTATAGGAAACTAATGCTGTTAATATATTCATCCAATAATTTTGAATCTTATGAAGCGCGGGGGTTTTCCGTGTCCTTAATTGCTTCGAAAAGATCTTCTTCCGTGAATTCCTGAACACGCATCACAGTTTCCACAAGTTCATCGGCAGCATCAACTTCAGTATGAAGTCACGATGCGTCTTTGTTGCAGAATCCACTTTCTTCCCAGTTTTCTGTCCAAAATGTTTCGTCGTCATCTTTTGAAGGAGTGACAGGATTCCCATTGTGTTTTTCAGTCAGATTGCGATTGAATCTTTGGGTTTCTGTTTCAAACAACCAATTCTGTAGTCAGAAATAAGGTTTGTTATGTCTAATACGTTCAGCCCATACTTGGATTTTCTCTTTTACCTTCTCAGCTACCAACTAATCTGTTTGTGGCATTTTAAATTTAGTATTTTTGTTAAGCATTGAATATTTTTCGTTGAACTTTAGAGGTGTGCGTTGATTTAGAAGATGACTAGGATAAGAGTGATATTTCACGCCAAGTGTCGGCTACCCGTTTTATAGTTCTTTTCGCGCAAGGAGTACGGAACTGTCGACCATCGATATTGTAGCCTGACCTCAAAAATATCTGAGACACTAGGAATCCATTGCATACACGATGTGGTTAATTTCAACAATACCTAGATCTCTACCCGGGCTCTGTACCATTCCATTTATGACAGAATTCGTTATCTCTATCACTCATTTAGCTTTAGCATTTTCGTATATTCTCGTCAACGGTGAACGATATTTGAATGGAAGTTGAAGAATTCTTTCTACCTCGAAGGATATTTCACATAATGTCCTTATCGTGTGATTCCCAGACAAATTATTTTTCACATTTCACTGCAGTTTTATGGGAAAGAGATGAAGCTTCAACAGGACCATTATTTTCAGGGATATTAGATGGTTCTACGTGTTCGTCATGTGCACAGGTCGATCGAAGGACATACTTCGCATTTTCCTGAATGTCAGCAAGTTGTTCTGCTGTGAACTTTTCACTGCTGAGAATGTATCGTTGTATGATTATTATTCCGTTTTCCCACATTATGGTCATAAACAGCTACCACACAGATAAAACATCAAAGCGTGGTAGCTGATTTGCTTAACATTTACAATATTCCGTAATTAATATAATACAATATAACATATCAAACCCTAAAGTACAAAATCACTAAATTTAAAAGCTTTTGAATCCTATAAGTTATTCCACGAACTTTCTGACTAAAGAGCACGTACTGATGACTAATTTTTGAAGAGATGATGATCTCTTGTCAATGCCTAGGTCGTTTAAAGATCTGCTAAGAAGTTTTGGTACAACTCCGGTTGCTCATAGGACAATTGGAACAGTTTTAAAATCTGTAACATGTCACTGTTCTCTCAATGCATATGATAGCTGTCGGTGTTTATTGATTTTTGTCTGATATTTTGTCATCATGTTGTTGGTATTGTCAGCTGCTACATCGATGTAACAAACTTTCCTGTCAGGATTATCGCAGACCGTAACATAGGGTCTATTGTGCTGGATTGCTCTGTCTGTCAGAATATTGCGGCTCCTGTGCAACTTATGAGACTTGCTTTCAAGCACTGTTTTTAGATGATATTGGTAGTACGGTGTATCAGTCTCCTGCAGGGGTCTGTACTTCTTAAGGAGATTGACATGGATGATCCTGTTATTATTATATTTATTATTATTATTATTATTATTATTATTATTATTATTATTATTATTATTATTATGATCATTATCAAAATGGGTATTGGCCATTCCTGACGACGCTACCCGTTATCTTCCGAGACCAGTCATATTTATGCGAGGCAGATTAACGTGTGTCATTTTGGGGATCAGTTTCTCGGTGATAGACCTTGATGGCAATATTAGTCCAGGTTGGTAAAATAGGAAAGTTTGATAAGCCTTGAATTATGAGTAATGAGGTGATAGGGGGAGGATAGGTGATCGTGGCCTTTTTGAACCGTCGCAGCATTCGGCTGTATGGCCGAGGGAAACCACGAAAACCCCGGTGCGGATGGACGGCCCCGGGTTCGAACCCGGGCCTTCCGACTGCAACGTAAGCGTGATACCACTGGACCACTTTGCTTGGTCATCGTTATAATAATTAATTTAATTAATACATCATCATCGACAGCAAGGATTAGACCTCTTGGTGTGTTCTGTCTCAGAATTGTTCATGCCATCTCTTCAAGGGACGTCCTACACTTCTTTTTCCTTTAGGTACATATTGAAGAATAATTTTACTTATTCTATGTTCTGGCATTCTCAGGACATGACCTTTCCAGTTTTCTCGATATTTCTTTATGGTATCTATAACCAGCTCAATATTTAGTTCTTCTCTGATATCTACATTTTTTTGTGGTCTAATAGTGAATATTCTGCCAAAAAAACGAAGAAATCTCCTTTATGAAGATTCAATTCGGCGCAGCTGATCTGATGTTAGTGTCCAGCTCTCACTTCCATAAAGTAGTAAATGCAAAGCAACAACTTTGTAAAATCTGAGAAGAGTTTCCTTTCGCGCATTATGATGTAGAGTTCGCTGTGGCGTTTAACAGAAATATGTGAAGTTGTCCAGTTTTATTTCCATATCGCTTGATTTTATAAAATTAAAATGATATTGAAGTTATTTAAATTCATTAATTTGTTCAATTATTTGGTCATATATAACTATCTTTGCTCTTAAAGGTTCAGTTGCTTAATTAATACATCAATCACGATATTCTTAAAAAGAGGAATATCATTTGTTCATACTTTGTAATTAAGATACAGATTTGCAGGATATGCATATGAGGGAAAGAAATGAAAAAAATATTGTTTAAAAGGCATTTATTGACATGCAATTACAAATATATGTAATAGCATTACATGTGTATATAAATATAATTTTTGAAATATGCTATTACAAAGTCACCAGCCATTTCTTACTGGCAGTCATCGAGATCATAATCAACATTTACTTGGCAGAGGAATACTACATTTTCTCATTTCTTTAATTATCATATAATATTATATGAGATAAAACATCAATTTCTAATAAAAAATGTACTCGACAGCCGTTCAATGTCATTATAATTACAATTATTTATAATAGCATTAGATGAATCGATGAAGTTTTTTGGGAAATATGGTCCGACAGCTTCACCAAATATTACTTTCCAGGCAATTAACTTGAAGGGGGAAGGAAGACATCATCCAATGCAACCTTGTCAAAGATTCGGCGCGAATATTCCTTAAAGGTGTAACCGAAAATTTCTTCCAGAGGAGTCTCGAGCTGGGACCAAATTTCCTTCCAATTCTCGTTGACAAGGTTATTGATGGAGGTTCCTGTAGCAGAAAACAAATATCTAAAAATGTATACATATGTGAACAGGTGATTGTGTTTGTTTGAGAAAATTAATTAGCTACGTAATTTGTATTTAAAAAAATATTTTAATGATAATTAATAAAAAATTGTAGGTTACTTTCCAATTTTAAATGAAAAAAGAGAACATATCCAATTCGACTGCAATACTTTTTAAAAGGACATTCTGTCGAAGATTGTATTAATGTGTAAATTCAGAGTATTATCATGTAAGTTACTCTCCAGAATTGTTGGATGGCTTTTCTTTTCATAGGGCAAGCCTGTATGTTTATTTGACCGCGATTATTACTACTTACTGGTGTCAAGCAAGCCTTCCGAATTTTGTAAATAATTATTTTAAATGTAAAATAACTTAACACAACATCGAGTGGCTGGCTCCTGAAATGTACGTTAAGTATAAACGCTCAGCCATGATTACCGTCAATGTAATTTTACCTACATTTGGAGTTTCTGCTCTGTTCATGCCACTTCTGTATGCTTGCCAGGGTGGGTACCCTGAAGAGCTAAATCTAAAAACATATTACCAAATGTTCAAAAACCTCGCTTTTTTTAGAATACTAATTACGAAAATTGACTGGGCTTTCACCAGACCCTCCTTTGGCATGTTTCCCCGCGTGTTCTCTGTGTGTAGTAGCGCATATTCTCTCAGAGGATTACCGCATGTAACATACATATTCCCTCGCATATTTTATATGATTTACCCCGTATTCACCTCCTGGATCGGTGCATATTCTCCCGAACGCTCCGCAGTGTGGCACAGTGTAAATAACGTAAATAGTGTTCGGTGTTAGAATAAGTGCACAGTGATAGGGTAGATGTATATAGCTAGAATTAAACTAGTACTTAGATTAAGTATTAGTTGATACATCTACGCTATAAGCACACATGTAAACGATAGATAAGATTATATGTAAAATACTTTTCCCACATGTTTCTTGTATGTTCCTCACGTGTACTCCCACATATTCTAGCACATTTCAAATTTGAAAAGTTAACTGATAATTGAAAAATTAATGGTAGTGTTCTTTATTACTTTTATAAACATTACAGAGGCGATTAGAGCGGTGATTCCCTTCTGGATGAACCGGGAAATATAAATAGCGTGGATATTCGAAAGAGAACCCTTCAAAATTTATTACAACAGCTCAAAACACTCCAAAATCAAATGCACAATAATTGCTTTAAAACAATTGTGAAGCTACTATTCAAAACTCAAGAAATGCAAAAGAAATCCATAACATTTATATGTATACCATTTTACTAGCTAAAAGAGTATTTTGCCTTGATTTTAAGAAATTGTTCTTTTTAGTGAGGAAACGCAACAGTTCACTAGTCAATATCATTTCCTAGCGGTTAATTGGTTGTTTTGACTTGTTTAGGAAACATATTAATAGTTGTAATTTGTACCAGATGCGTAATGTCTTCTTGACTTCTATCAAATCGTACGTCTTTCACATTGTTGATAACCAACTATTTTATGGTGAACGAAATGTTTCGTATCAAAGGACTTAGGCATCGAGGCTCAGAGCTAAGTCGCAAACATTCCATTACTGAGGTTTCGGGTTCGGTTCTCGTAGAATCCCTGTAGAACCTAATTTGAAATTTGTTACAACAAAACGAGTTCGCCTGCTTCACAGGGGCTAATCCAACTCATGTGAGGCGTCCTAAACCTTACCCATATCCTTATTCCTTCCCAATTCTAACCCGGGTAGATGACGCGAGCGCAAAGGCGCGACCTGTCGGCGATTCCCTGACTTAACTGTGACTGACGTGACTACCCAACGACCTCTAGAGGGCGCTTACTAAAGGAGAATTACTCTAATAGAAATAAATGAAAATGTAAACGGAGGATTACTCCACAGTGCGCTCAACGCTTCTTAAGGAGCTAGGAGACGCCTTGCGTCTATATAGACGCAACAAACGTAATCTTTCGGGTAACGGAAAAGATCCAGGTATCCAATATACTTGTATTTTTTTATCATCCCTCAAATCTGTTTTTTCATCAAAACTCGTCATATTCTTTAGAAACATTTAACTTTAAGCATTCAAAATTACATTTTAGCCAAAATCTTATAAACGCATTCTTAACATTGTTTTATGAAAAAACATCTTTTGCATGTATGTACTTTTGAAAAACATGCTCCTCAATTGCTGTAAAGGTGGAAAGAGCCACAGGGGATCCCACTTTCGACATTTCTGACAATCTCTGCTAACGCATAACATATCGTCAAAAAGTCTTTCATATTGTGGTTTGCGCCTTGAAAAGCATAACTCAAGGGAAACGAGTACTATATAGAAGGTTCTAAGATGAAATATAAGATATGCTCAATAGAAATGTCTTGCAACGTACTGTATTTCGCGGGGTACATGCTAACCCGATGCCCTATCAATGTTACAATCGTAAACGTCGACATTTTTCGTCGTTTACGGACACATACCGATTTGAAGGGTATGTCAACAACAGAACCCAATGAGAAATTTTCCTTTCTCTGTAATTACATAAGGTCGTCGTTTAGAGCCTTTATTAATAGAATATTTCTGAACGCCTAGTCAAAGTTTTGACCTTCAAAGTTTATGGCATGTTAAAAAGAATTTAAATAGTCACAATGTGTTATCGCGTTCTAGAAACTCAAACGCTCTCTTACAGGCAGCTTATCTATAGTTCCATTGCATAATATTGAAGAATCCGTTGATGTAGAAAATAGCTGTGCAATCAAAGCGTCGAAGGTTGAACAAGTTCTTTCTTAAACGAAGGGCGTGACCCTTTACGTTAATTTAACATATTTGGTATTACATGTCTCGTTGCTTATAGATAGATCAATTGTAATATTGTGTAGTATGACCACAAACATGCGATTGCCCCCCCCCAAAAAAAATTAGATGTGGGTCCTCAGTCATCTCGTGGCTCAGGAGCGAACTCGCTCGCCTTTCACGAAGGCTCGCCAATCCCGTCGATTCCCGACGAAATTTGTTCCAACGAAACAAGTTTGGCTGCTTCACAAGGGTTAGTCCCACCCTCGTGAAGTGTCCTAAACCCTACCCCTATTCTAATTCCTTCCCAATTCTGGTCGCTAAGTAGTGACGCAGGAGCGCATGATAGGAAACACATAAGCGGAGATGCTACCTGGCGGTCCTCTTGACACATTACTGCGACGAGACGTGACCTACGATATACTAATAATTGTGGATTTCTCCATGTGTAAGGCACCGAACCACTCGCAAAGAGCGCGTTGCGTCTTTAGATGCATCAATTTTTTTAAAAAAGCCAATAGCTCACAAAATTGGTCTATTTGCGAAATTGTTTTTCCACCAATTGAAATTGTCCGAAATTCGTGCGAATGGTCGTGGACAAGCCCTCGAGAAATCTCAATTGAGAAACTTCGGCAATTCGATGCCCCACGTAAGGATCGGCAAACTGCAGTGACTTTTAACACAGCTAGCGAGTTCCGATACTAATAACTGCTTGTGCAAAGTCTATGACTGAAACTCGAACTGAGAATGTTGAAAATTGCAGAGCGTCGCACGCATATTGTACACGTACGAACGTCACTATAAATCTACCATTGTGTTTTAATAAAGCGTATTCTCAGAAGCATGTCGAATAGTGAGTGATTGTGGAGATTTGGGAGTCGATGATTCATATTCACAAAATAATATAATTTACTATAGTAAAGAAAGTAATTAAAACTATCAGTTAATACTTTATGATATAATAGTACACATCAAATATAAATAAATGTTAAATTCATCACAATTATCACATTAATCACAATTATTTAAAAGAATACATCAATTGATAAGGACACTGCATCTATACCCCCGTTCTAGCCTCCTGATGGTGGTATCACGTATTCTTAATAGTTTTGTTGCATTCAAAACAACAGAGACCCATTCAATATTGTGAAAAATTTTTCAGATTTGTCTTAGTGAAGATTTAGAAGAATTTACTCTTTCAGCTGCTCTGTCTACATTATTATCAACTTAATCAATAATATATTATCATTATACTTACCAAGAGTCTTGTCGCCGTTAAAGAGGTTGTCAAACTGCATTTCCAATTTGTCGGCATTAGTGATTTTGAATGTAAAATCTTTAACTTTCATGTGATCTCTATTCTTCTTCATTTGTCTTTCTCCATTAATAGTAATGTCTGCAGCCAAATTTGCTGAAAATGTATCAAATAGAAAATACAGATTAAATGTTAATAAAACATATAATAAAAACTATAAATATTAATATTGTAATTTATGTAATTCTTTGGTGTTACGTTAAATGTAATTGAGGTAAATTATTAAATTATTTAAAGTAATGTATTTTGAATTCCAAATATTAAATAGTGAGATTTCTAAATGTGTTACTGTCAATTCTCAGTCACATCCTTTGGGTAAGAAGTCTGAAAAGTCATATTTACTCACTTAAATTAAGGTATACTTTGCCTTCGCCCTTTGCGGGAATAAGCAGAATTCGCCCGTCCATTATGTAGTTGGCTACTCCGAAGACTTTTTCCGCCTGTGCATGTGCATTAATACGCAAATTCTCATAATCAAACCTGGAATAAATATGCAATCAATTTAACATTGTACTATTAGTACAGATGTCTAAAATCTGACTGTTGAAAAAATTCATTCGTACTGAACCAATCATCGTCTCCTATATTATTTCAGTGGAATACTTACCTTTTGTGACCATAACACGCAAATGGTAATGAGGCCTCTAATGAAAGAGAATTTCACGGAGACGTGACGAATTGCACTCCTACTTTAAAAGTATCATGGATTTGTTTAAAACGCATCCTAATATTCATGTCAAATGCAACTCGCACCACTCAGCTATACCGTTAAATAACTGCTAAATATTGCGCGCAATATTGCCCAAATATTTGCATTTTTTTAAAAATACGTAAACAAGATTTTCTCAAAATAGCTCCAATTTGTTTAAACTTTTGAGAGGGATTGTGCTAAATCTATAAGATGATACTCATTTAAACGCCATATTGATTTATGCTATTGTATTTTCAACTATTACAAAAGTGTACTTTTTTTGACTTATCATTCACGTCGTTAATATTTACATTAGTGGTAATTTATTTTCATTTTTATATTTATGAGTACATGTGCTTTAAATAGTCTCATAGAAAACTGCTCGAAAACTTTTCTGTCAAACTGGCTCAAAATTGCGCATTTTCGGAAACACTCACACCCCATTTTCTCAAAAATAGCTCCAAACTTTTTCTTCAAACTTTTAACAAAGCATAATGTTAATTGCACTGTTTAAGATTACATAAATTTAACTTTGGTGTAATCTATTGTTTTTTTCAAAAAATACATTAATCTAGCTTCAAATATTTTCAATTTTTTTTGAAAACTCAAAAAGGTCCTGTGAAAAAGTGCTTCAAATTTCGAAACTACTGTAGCTTTTAAGCGCCATTTTCTTAAAAACGGTACCAAATTTTTCGAAAAAATTGCCATTTTGGACGTGGTTTTACTGTTCTTTAATATTATTAAAATAATGTTTCCTTTCTATTATTAGGAAACCGATAAAGTAAGAAAATTTAAAAAAAATATACTTTGGGCGGCGATAGTTGATAACAGGCAAGAGTATGTGGCAAGTAGAGACGAAAGGATTTAGAAAAAGTATACGGGAAAGACTGAGCCATTCTGTACCATTAGTTTGTTTTTGTAAATAATTTTCTTTTTCCAAAAAAAGGCACCCATTTTTTCTTTACGCTTCCTCCTCGTACTTGTTGAAGGACGGTAACAAAGTGGCGGTATTCATGTATGCGGCGATCTCTTTGTGTTTTCAGAAATTGTAAAAAATAGTAGTAATTTCCAGAGTTTCGTTTGATAGTTCGCAAAATGGAAACAAGCCGATTAAAAGTTATTCAAATGCTTATCATTGTTGGAAATTGTGATAATTCTGAAATAGTATTGTATAATTTAGATAAAATTCTGTACGAAAGAGAATAGTTTGAAGGAAGATATCATAGTATATTTACCGTAGAACTAACATATAATTTTCTTTCACTGGTTTTTCTTTTGGAGGTAGGTCAATTACACGGGGTGTTTTTGAATTTGTTCTTTTCAAAAAAGAAATTGTGAGAGAAGATTTCTTGTTATTGATTTAATTTTCCTTTGTTCAATTAACTTCTTAATCACAGACGGGTTACATTCATTTATTTTAGGTATATGCAAACTATTAAGTCTTTCAGTAAAATCAGAATCTGATTTTAGAAAGAAACGTTGAATAATCTAAGAAATCAAGAATGGAAAACAGTACATTTATGTTGTAAGATATGGTTGGAATAAAAGCGATAGATCATATTGGTTTGAGTGGATTTTCTAAAAAATTAAAATTTTTATTTTTGTTTTCAGTAGAAACGGTTGAGTCGAAGAAATTTATGGGATGGAACTCAAAAAAATATGTTCAATAGTCTTTTCGTACCTTTCTAAAGGCAAATAATTGAATCGACATATCTAAAATAATTATTAATATTCTTAAGCAAGGAGTTTGAAATAATTGAACTAATAAACAAATTATTTTCCAACTGGTCCATAAAGATTTCAGCAATCAATGGGGATATATTAGAACCTGAGCCTATCGTTCAGTTACTTCAGCTGTATTTTACTTCGTAAAATTATTAATTTATCGTTATTTAATTTAATCATTAATTAATTTTTATTGATCTTTAGGTTGCAATCAGTTTTAAGAAAGCTGCTAAGAAAAATGTTTTTTCCTTGCTACCAACTTACTGCCCGGAGATATTCATTTATTAATATTTTTACTATGTAAAATTATTTCTATATTTTTACTTCGTTCATTTGTATCTTATCTATTGCCGTATTTAGGTAATTTCATTCCATTTGTTAAATGTATATTTATTTACACATTTCTTATCTGAAGATTAACTCAAGATGGGATAAAATATTCCCGAAACACGTGAATGACCATTTGTTCTTAATATTTATATTTTATTATTATATATTTTGTGGTTGATACCTTCTCAGTCCTTAACATCATGTATTACCACACTGTCTCTGTTGCGACCCCGGATTTTATTAGTTTGTTTCATTTGTGAAAGTTAGAAATTACTTCTTTTCCTGGCTACGTAATAAACGCAGATAACCACTGGCGCTTCGTTTGAATTGGTTGATTTGAATGTTTTCAAGTTGTTACTGGGTTTTTGTGCGGCAGAAATTATATTTTTTAATATCGTTTATTATCATCTGTTATCTCGTTTAGTAAGGTCATGAAACCATTACAATTAAAGTAGATTTCTTTTCACCCAACGTCTTATCTTATATTTTGTAGTTTTGTGTCAGTGTGTAGCAAGTTTCGAAAATACAATGTGTTTGGCGAAAATGAAAGTAGCCCACTTTTTTACCGTCCATACGAGGTCCATACATACGAGATATAAAATTTAAAGAAAATATTTGGGGCACTTATTATATAGAGAGGTAAATGTTTGTTTAAAAATTCCTTATAACTCACGAAAAATTACACGCAAACTACTCATTGTTTCAAAGGAATGTACATGATCTTTTGAAGGAACGTCGTTAATAAACAGATTTTTTAAGAAAAAAACAAAACAACAACAGAATATTCAGTATTTTAGTTGTGTAAGATGCGAAAAAATTGAAAGTTTGGAATTTTTGAAAAATAAAGGATTTTAACGAAAATGACACTTGCAAAATTCTGTTAAGCGTCATTTACGGTACCCGAAGGCAATATTAAATAAAACATTGATAGCAATTTTTTAGAAAATTTTGAAAATGTTTTTTAAGCTTCTTGTAAATTATTCAATAATCGAAATATTGAATTTTGAAAAAATAAATTGAAAGTAATTTCAAACTCAGAGGAACCTTTTGTTCCTTTAAATCAATCCACGAACGATACAGGCGATAACTTTGATCACTGAAAGTCGTACAGAAGACGTTATGGTCAAATTACTCGATATCGAGGCCCCACAATACGCCGATTCAGACAACATAACATATTAAAGAAAGTAATTTACTATAAACAGGAATAATTTTTATCTTCTTTTTTTTCTTAACAACATTTGACAGTAAGAGAGTCTAACGAAGTAAGAACGAGAAAGTACAAATGATCGTTCTGTTAGTGCTAAGAAAACAGAACACTCATCGAAACACAATTGAAGTGCCTTATCTGTAGAAAGAGAGATCTGAATAATCGACAAACTTCCATATCCCCATTACAGTGCCACGTATTGCCATTAGGTGATAGACAAATGCAGCAACTGCACTTTCAAATACAAACGAATTGTAGACCTCAGAATGGAAGACCAATATTGTGTCTGGTCATGTTAGTCATACAGAATCAATGTTTCTTTCCATTTACTTGTTTAATTTATAAAAAAATTGAAAATGTTTTAAGTCAATTCAAATTTTCACTTGTGACTCAAGAGCTTAACATCATTACTATCAATTAAAAAACCTATGTTTATAATTTCTACAGGAATTTCAAAAAGCCCGCAGGTACTTCTTGATTCCGTTCTTTTGGTTTACTTACTTAATGTTTGAAATTCTTGCAGTAGGAAGGTTATAAACATTAATATCAGAAAAATTGATATGTAAGTTTACTGGGGCGTCAGTGTTTGAATCTCCAATAACCAACTGCGGGATCACAAAAGGCTCCAAAGTAGGAATTCCGAAATCAGGGAGACCTGTAATAGATAACATTGCTTTAATACTTTTCTGTGTTGTTAAATGCGGTGCACCCTCCATTTGGAAGGAAAGCATAGAAATAAATTTTTCGAGCCCACCTTCATAGTGCACACATTTACACAGAATTAGAACATGAACGTTGAACGGTTTTCAACACCAGCGAAGAACTGTGTCAAAATACTTTCCATACTAGTACTGAGAGTACCTTTAGTACTTTGGTCAAACGAGTTTAAGGTACTATTCGAGCACTGCATTCAATTGTTCTATCTGTACAAGCATTTTACTACGTAAATCATTTAAGTGAACCTTCGTCGTTGATAACGTTTTCTACAAGAATAATAAAAAAATCATTATCAATAAAGCAAGTTTTCAGCGAGCAATCACTTACTCGACGGTTAATTTTTTCATTCACTTCTGAAAAAAAACGTTAAAATGCGTATGTACTATCTTTTTTATTTATTCCACCTTTCTTCCAACAAATGCTATATTCTTTTTCATACCGTTATCTAGATTTTCGTTGCACTAAATCTAAAGAAGCTACTATAGTTTGTTTGAAAATATATGATGGGAGTTTCAATTGAAGTGTAGAAAACGTTATTTTCCTTCGGGGCGTACGCCAGGCAATATCCTTCGTAATTCACTGTCAACTGACAGTCAACAATAAAATACGTAGCTATCTCCGAACAGGAATATACATTCATGTTTTCTTTATCAATTAAATTGGTATATTACACAAACATGTGGTCAATAAATTGCTGTTTGTATATAATGTAATGTACTGTAAATTAACATTTCGCAAATGATAAATATTCTGTAAGCTTGTTGGAATAATTATCCTCAATTGTGATAGTAAATATAAATATGTTTTGAAATATGCTCCCTAAACAAACTTTTCTGTACTTTGAAATAATACTTGTGAGCCTGTCTTGATTTAGATTTATTTCGTATTTAGATTTATTTAGTTAAAAAAACAGTAAAAACTGGAGAGATTATCTCTGCACGTTATCTTGAGTTTCAGAATCCCTTCACAGCATTTTAACTATAAATAGTTGAAAGATGAATGCAATTTTAAAATAAATAAATAAAAATAAATATTAAAAATGCACGAGATAAGCAATATTTGGTAGAAACTAGACATTATCGTTCCCAAGTTATAGAAAAATTATTTGCATAGGTAAACGAATTGAAGGTATGATTTTTCTACACTGCTAACAAAATAGTATCTCGCCCTGACCTGTACTCCTACCATTGCAAGCAAAAGGAGAGTTCAACAAAAGGTGCGCATATTGAAGCAATATTTGGCGTCCAGAAGCCAATCTGAACATTTGCTCAATGGGTCATGGAAACTGGACGAAAACCTGATCTTGTTAATTAAATATTTAAAATCTCTTGCCTCCTCGTAGATGGTGAACAGCCACTTCGAATGCTTCTCCCAAGCAGGAAATAAAATTATCATCTCTTTTGCAGAGTTTATATTCAGGAGCTGAAACATAAAAGAGTGAACATAAGAACAGCTTTTTGCAAGGATTTTTTAAAGGCTTTGTTTTAACCACGCAAGAATAATAAGCAATGTATTCAGAAATCAAATTAAAAGTATAAGATAAATTGTTATTGTAGAAACATTGAAAAATTAAAGAAGTAATTAGTCTCCAAGATAGGTTTTTCTACTCGCGAATTAGTGCAATGGGAAACGCGGATGTGGTATTGAGATAAGAATGTATTGCACAGCATATCTGCAGCTATATATGTCTATCTATTTATCTGTAAATGAATCTATCAAACAATTTATCAAATTATCTGTGTACTTATTTAACTATCGATCTACATAACCTTACTTGGATTTTAGTTGTTCTCTGCTACTTTAATCAATGGAGAGATTTTAAAATTTCTTTTATTGAATTATTCAAACAAATGCTAAAATCACACATAAAGGGAAATGTCTCAACACTTAAAGCAAATGGGGAAATTCTCTGGTGAGTTGCAGACGCGAATGAATGTTACACCACTATCAGAAGTCTCTCCGTCTTCATCTGGCTGTCACCCACGTGACTGGTTTGTTACTTGATGGATTAGTTGACTGATTGATCA